GCCGAGCTTTCCTGCCTCCCCACCCCGGCTCCTTCATGGGCCTGCTCAGTACTGAAGGGCAGTGGTTCCCAAACTTCTTCTCTCAAGAACATGTGGAAATTTATTTTAAATATCCATTAAAACTCAAATTCTAGGACGTACACATGTGTACACACGCACAAGCACACACATCAGTAATTGTTTCAATATAAAGCTGAACTTTCCTTCTCTACACAAGAGTAAAAATGATACTCCAGGAAGATAAACCACACTTGAACCGTGGCTCTGAGGACTTCCTGGAAGAAGGTTGAACACCCAAGATGGCAACAAGGATAGCTACTGTTTAAATGTTGCTTCAAGTGACAAACATTACTTTAAGCGATTCATACATTTAAAAACACACTGTCAGGCATGTCACTATCCCCACTTCATGGATAACGGAACTGAGGCATAGATGATCACACAACTTTCCCAAGGTCACTCACCAGGGAAAAGCCCTGGCTTTGGGAGAAGCAGGTGTCAAGAACGGACCATGCCCTGTCCTTGTCCTCCCTTCTTTCTGGGGGATCCCGGCCCTTTCCTTTGACCCTTGGTGACTCTGTCCCTGCTCCCCACCTGGGCACAAACTGGTTGGCGGGCCTCTTGGGCCGGTACTCGGGGTGCACCATGAAGAGCATGTGAGGGAAACCGGTGCCGAAGTAGGCGCCATCCGTGTGGTGGTGCCTCGATGACTTGGGTGTGTACACGTCCATGCACTTGGGGCAGTAGAGCTTCACCATGGCCTCACCTGGGATGTCCGAAAGGCCTGGGAGACAGCCAGACTCAGCAGGCCAGGTAACCCAAGCCTGCCCAACCTCCCTCCTGGACTCAGGCCCCAACTTGCTGAGCCCCAACTCCTTCCCAGTGGACCTGCCATTTTATGTGGCCCTTCTTTCCCTTTTCCAACACTCACCGATGGGAAGCATTGGCTGGTTCTCACAGTACACACGGGGACAGTAGCCAAAGTCTCCCTGCTGGTACTTTTCCAACTGCAGTGAATAAAATGGAAGGGGTTGCTGGATAGGTATGAAGAGAAGAGGCAACCCCCTCCTCAGCCCAACCCACATCACTCTGTCCCCAACTCCTCCTGTCTCTCGCTGTCCAGAGGCCCCTTTTCTGGCTCAGATGGGCCCTCAAGACTCCTCTGCTTCCCTTCCTCCAGTTAGGCAGGCTGCAGACCACCAGAGCCATTCGCTGCTTATTCTCTGAGGAAGAGGCGGTCTACAACTTCCTGCCCAAGGTCACATCTCCCTCCCTGAAAACACCCCCTTTAGCACACCCTCAATCAGGTTTTAATCCCTAAGCCTAGGTTCTGGGGTTTATTTCCCTCTTCTAAGCTAGATTCCTTGACAAGGTTGAAACAAGTGACTTCTTGCTGCAGGAAACTGTTTCCCTTGTTGCCTGCGAAGGAGCCAAGTGGGAGTAGAGAGGCCTCACCATCTGGGCGATGCCACGGTTGGTGAGGATATAGCGGGCGTGGATCAATCCATAGAGCATTTCAGCTGCCTGCTCAATCAGGTCACTCTGGTTGGGGTTGTCTTCCAGCTCCTCATCTGAAACATGGCCCCAACCAAATGCAACCACTTGTCTTACAGCTATTTTAGGTGCCCTGCCCACCCCCAGGGGCTGCTGGCTACTCAGTTAGCCCAGCACCCAACTCTGAGCCTCATCCCACCCACGGCCTGGGCATTTGACCCAGAAACCTGGGCCTCTGACCCTTCCACCAACCCAAGGCAGCTCTGCCTTCTTTCCATCCCTCTCAGCCTCTGCTCCCTTCTCTCCCTCGATACATAAACGCAAAGATGTCTCCACAGAAGACAAAACTCTAGCCTGGAAGGTGCAAGGCAGGGAAAAGCAGCAGAAAATAAGACTCATGGAAAAACGGGCATTATGGAATAGTGCTAAGTTAACAGGATCAGAGTATGGGAACGAGCGGTGTAAGTCACAAAACTAAGCAAGAGTGAGGTAGGGAATCAAAATGAAGTAGAGGACTCTGGGTTAAGGGGGTCAGAGAACCAAAAGGAAATTCAGAAATTCAAGAAGCAGATAAACAGGATTTGAAAAGGAAAAAAAGCATACACACACAAAACAACCCTGAGGGTGTCTCACCAGGCTCCAGGTCCAAGATCATGTCTAAAGCTTGTCGATAGTGAGGCACCTGCTCATTGAGTCCAGTGAGATTGAATTTGTCCTGGATATAATCTTCATCCACCTGTCAGGACATGAATTCAAAAGGAAACCCATAGCAGAATCCTCAGCTTTGACCTGGGCAAGTTGCTCCAACTGGTGCCTTATCCTCAACACAACTGCTTCTGTTCCCTTTGTTCCGCACTCCCAACTCAGCAGAAGTACTTGAGTCTCTCTCCCCAGCTCACGTGTACTGCCCACCCATAAAAGCTTCGGATTTTCTTTTCCAAGGATAAACAGGTACAGCAAGCCCCGTCTTAGAGAGACATTCCTTTCATGATCCTTGTTCCTATTCCTGCGTCCCATCTCAGTTTTGGCCTCTCCTTAGGGCCAGCTGGTTCTCTGAGGAAGGTGGAGGCTCAACAGCTTGGATTCTGAAGGCAGTTACAATCCCTTATGTTAACACACAGCTTTGCACGTTACAAAACATTTTAGTAGGAACTATTTTAACCCTAACAGCCACAAAAAATAGGTACTACCAGTACCACTGTGGTAATAGAAAAGAAAATACACAGGTTGACATGTCCAACGTTATACTGCTGGAGAATGTCAGGGCTGACTTGGGGCCCCAGTCTCGCCCCTTCACCACAAGTTAGTGAGGGAGTTACTAAGGGGACTCTTCTTTGAGGAGAAAGAGTTTTTTTGTAAGCCTGTTAAAAAAGTGTATGGAAGCTGAATATATGGGAGAATGTTTTATATAACCAGATTATATTTGGAGATGGGTAGGGGGTTTGAAAAGAACTCACTTCACAGAAGAATTCATTGCCACGAAGCCCACAGAACCAGGAAATCCAGGACACCTCCTCTGAGCTGCTCATCTTCACGTCAGCTAAAGAAAGAGGAGTGTAAGGGTAAGCTCTCCCTCCCTGCCTCTGATATCCTCCCTCCTTCCACACTTTGCCCTCCAACCATGCAAGAATTTGGGGCAACCCTTTCTTAAAGGATCCGAACCTGGAGCACATCTCTCTAGCTCCTCTTATTCACATCTCGGCCCCTTTTCTCTGAGACTAAATAAATTCTTTGGGATCCCACCACTTGTGAGAAACCGACAGGTCTTGACCACCAGTCCTACCCACATCCCTGACGCTCCCGAAGGCCAGGCCCCTCTCTCTTCCGTGTCAACTCCGGCAGGGCCCGCGGCTCAGGCTCCCTACCCGCGCAGGTCTCCGCGTGTTCCCGGCCCCATTCCCAAGGGTTCCGAAGTTTATCCTTTCCAAGCAAGAACCAAGCCCCTCCTTTTCTCATGGCCTGGGGGTGGCCCTCAGGTCCCTTTCATGGGAGTCCCCACATCCCGCCTCCATCCTTTTGGCCACCTCTCCCTCCTTCGGTGCCGGACCAGGTCACTTCCTTCCCCACCCCCATATCAAGGCGGGGAGACCCCATGTGCCGCGCCCAGGGACAGGGGACACGGCGCGGGGACGACCCCAGACTCACCGACTGGACGGGGACTGGGACCGGGGGACGGGGGGGGGAAAGGGGAGTTTCTGCTTCCAAGGAACCGCGAGGACCGCTGCAACGCAGGTCGCGGACAAGACCGCGGTAGGCGAAGTGGGGTGGGGGGGCGGGGAGTGGAAATTGGGGAGGGTGGGGAAGAGGGCAACGCGCAAGTGCTTAGCGTCGGGAGCCGCGATGGACGCCGGGAAATGGAGTCCCCGGTAGGGAGAAACTGGCGAAACTAGGGAAAGCTGAACTACGAATCCCAGGATGACCCGCGCACGACCCTGGTGTCGCAAGGCCCCTGAGGGAGACGCTCGGGGGCGGGGCGCAGCAAGGGGCTGCTAGGCTCAACCGGAAGCGGAAAGTCAGTATCGCGTTCTGGGCCAGGGAGCCTGGGAAATATAGTCGTGTGATTCTCGGAACCGTGGGGTCGAGGAGGGCGGGGAGAGGAACAGGGCTGCTCGTGTCGTTTCCTGTCACTCTCCTCACACAGCGAGCCTCAGGCCCCGGTGCGGCTACGCTTCCCAGGGCATTGACCTCATCCGCTCCAGCCAGCCTGGTCCTTATCGCCTGTCGGGCTCCTTTCCCGAGTCAGCCCGCCAAGGAGACCCCCGAAGGGGCCCATGCTTCACCCCGGGGTTTGGGCTCCGGAGGCGGGAGGTGAGGCCGGGTTCCGTGCTGACGGACCTGGGTAGGGTGTACTGGGCTGAACTGAACGGCGACAGAACCAGGACGGCCCCGTGCGCTAACCTGAGGTGGCGCCAGCCATTCTGCTGCTTGTTCCCTTGTACTTCTGCATTTCCTCTTAGAGCTTGAACCGGGCTGCTGCAGGCGCCAAGTGTGACCTTCGAACCCTGGTCAGAGTAATGGTGAGGGGCTGTGAGACGTTATTTCTTTTCACGGTTTCTGGGCATTCTCCACCTCAGGGCCTTTCTTAACCCCGAGAATGGTTTCCCAGGGACAGAAAATGAGCTCCGAGCGGGGGCCACCTTGAGGGAGGCGAAGGGTATTGTGGGGGCGTTATGTAAAAGCAGTACACCAACCGACGGATCCTTCTCTGTCCTCGCGCTACTTGGGCACGTGCTGCTTTGCGGTATGCTATTGGAACGATTCCAAGGCGGGAAACAGCCCCGGCGCTTGCGCGCGCCTGCGCCCTCGAGTAATTGTCCCCCTCAAGCCACGCATGCGTCTTTGTATCGTGTGACTCTGTCGATTCCTTTGCTTAGAGTAGTGCCATTTTGCAGTACGGAAGCTACAAAACAACACAGACGGGAACCTCTCCCTTAAATCTGCTTCCGGCTTCCGGAGAAGTGTCAAGTCTGTTTTTGTTTGAGAAGACGTTACCCGAAATAGGATCGAGGAAGATTTAAAGAGCCAGGTTGATTGTTTTTCTTAACGGTATGTCTTACGCGGTGGTAAAGTAGCCTCAGAGAAGCTATTATTTATTGTTGATGAGGGTGGGAGTGGGGGCGGAGCGCAGGACCTCTGGGCAGCTGTCTTATGGAGACTTCTTTGTTAACCTTTACTAAGGGGCATGGTCTGTTACTGTAGGATTTCCTGTTTTTCCATATGATTTATGGTCCTCAGGCCCTGCAGGGTCCTAGGTTGTGGAGTCACTTTTGGGTTAGGAGGGGATTTTTGACGCTAAGGATACTTTTCCTTCTCCCAGCAGGTGTCTGGAGGTGACTCTGGTCACTGCAGGACCACCAGGGGCTTGGCTTCCTCGTCTCATCCTCCCCCTGCCTAGTCTCATTTTCCCAGATCTTCCAAAAGCCATGTCCGCGGCCACCCTCATTAACTTTACCCGAGCCACCGACCCCAGTGATCTCTGGAAAGATGGGCAGTTGCAGTCACAGCCTGAAGAGCGGAAGCCCACCCTGGATGGGGCTGCAGCCCGGGCTTTCTACGAAGCCTTGACTGGGGATGAGAGCAGCACTCGTGAACCCCAGAGGGCTCAGCCTGAGTCTGCCAGTAAGAGAAAGAGGAAGAGAAGAAGAATGATGAAGGAAGCTGCAGCAGGAGTATCAGGAGGACATGGACAAAGGAGATCCCTTGGGGCAGAGGACAAGATGACCCACCGGATACTGAGGGCAGCCCAGGAGGGGGATGTGGCAAAACTAAAAAGACTGTTGGATCCCCATGAGGAAGGGGGAGCTGGGGGGAATATTAACGCTCGAGATGCTTTCTGGTGGACCCCCCTGATGTGTGCGGCCCGAGCAGGCCAGGGGGCAGCTGTGCGCTATCTCCTGGGCCGTGGGGCTGCCTGGGTGGGGGTCTGCGAGCTGGGTGGCAGGGATGCTGCTCAGCTGGCAGAAGAAGCGGGCTTCCCTGAGGTGGCCCGCATGGTCAGAGAGAGCCCCAGAGAGACGAGGAGTCCAGAGAACTGGTGAGAGGAAGCCTTATCTTCCGTTGTGTTCTTTCCTTCCTAGCTACTCCACACTAGAGGCCCCAGAACAGAGCTGGAGGGTTGGTTCTCTTCCCTGTCCTCTAGTGTAGGCTAGTAAGGCAGTCTGGTTACAGACATGAGCTCCCTGGGTTTATTTTTTTGTATTTAAAAAATTTATATATTTATTTACTTTTTAGTTTTTAATTTTGTATTTTATTTTTTTGTTGAAGCATAGTTCACGTATAATACTATATAAATTACAGCTATACAATATTAGTGATTCACAATTTTTAAAGGTTACAGCCCATTTAAAGTCATTATAAAAATGCTTGCTATATTCCCGTGTTTACCCACTCCCTGGGTTTAAATCCTGACTACTTACTTGGGCAAGCAACCTAATGTCTATGTGCATCAGTTTCCTCATCTAAGAAATGGGGCAATAAGAGCACCTTTCTCAAAGGGTTGTTAGTAGTAAATGGGTTAATATATGTAAAGTGCTAGAATAGTACTTGTAGCATAGTAAGCACTATACAAACATTAGCTTTAGTAATTATTATTAATCCTCCCTCACCCAAGAGCCTTGTGAGGCCTTTTAACCTTCTCTTCTCCCAGCTGTTCCCCTTTGGGTCCCTCGTTGCTAAGTGGGGAGGAAGGCAATTTGTTCCTCAGCAGAAATACTGGAAGGACCCTGTCCCACCCTGCCACCCACCTCTGAGGCCTAAACCCTTGCGCTTCCCTTAACCCTTTCTTTCTTTTCTCTGCAGGTCCCGATCCCCCTCCCCCCAGTACTGTGAGGCTTGTGATGCCCACTTCCAAGACTCTAACCACCGTACCTCCACTGCTCACCTGCTGTCATTGTCCCAGGATCTCCGGCCCCGCAACCTGCCCCTTGGGGTGCCTACCTCCAGCCCAGGCTTCAGGCTGCTGCTGAGGGGGGGCTGGGAGCCTGGAATGGGACTGGGACCCCGGGGCGAGGGCCGTGCCAGTCCCATCCCCACTGTCCTCAAGAGGGACCAGGAAGGATTAGGCTACAGATCAGCACCCCAACCCCGAGTTACACATTTCCCAGCTCGGGATACACGGGCAGTGGCTGGGAGGGAGAGAGCCCCTAGGGTGACCACACTGAACCGGAAGGAGGAGAGAAGGCAGGAGGAGAAGGATAGGGCTTGGGAGCGGGATCTGAGGACATACATGAACCTTGAGTTCTGACCTTGGCAAGTTCTGACCCTGGTCTGCTGCTGAAGTCTGAACTTGGGCCCCTGACCTAGGCACTTGGGCTTCTACTTCCTGGGGCCTGCCCAGGTTCCAGACCTTCAGGTTTTGATCGGTGGACTCTGCCTTTGGGAGAAAACAGGCTGAGAGTTGAGAAATAAATGAAGCTTTTTCGCCTCTTTGGTGTTTTATTCACTTTTCTGGAAGCTGTTGCAGGGAAGCCAAACAGGCTGGGGGCCACATGAAATTCTACCTGAGCCAGAAGAGGCAGCAGCTCTGCTAGGTGGTATGATAGGGTCACCTCCCTGCCAGTCTGGTTCGCTTCTAGTCCCAGCCACTGCCCAGAGTGCCCCACCTATTTTTTCAATCCCTGAACCAGGAATTGCCCATCTCTGTGCAAGTCTAACTTCCCTCAGAAGGCATCCCCTGCCCACTCCATCCCTTGCCCACTCAATTCAATCACTGATTTCACAAAGTTCACATACTATGTGCTAAGAATAGGGAGTAAGAGACTTTCCCAGTCGTCAGGTTGCTCACAGCTGGAGGAGACAGGATGTGATCAAATAAAATGCATGGTGATAGAGGAGGTCAGGGAAGGCTCAGAGGTGATGAGAGTGGGTAGGGTCTTGCAGGAAGAGGCCAGTGTGATAGGAGGGCCTAAGATTATGCATCCTGTAGGCTATTAGCTGAAACTGGGACCAGAACTCTGGCCTCCCAAATATACACTTTAAGCCAAGGTTCTTCATTTTGATACCTGAAAATTCCTGAGGGCAGGAAGCACATCCTATTTGTCTACACTTGTCCTTCCCACATTTCCTCTCCCGCTCCTCCCTTGTGCTGCTCATACTAGGTGCCAGGCATATGAAGCGCTCACTGTCGTCAAATCCAAGAGGTAAAATACGTGCATGGAGGAGCAAGGAAGGGCTACTCAAGTCCCAAGCCTCCTCTCAGCTTTCTTTTCCGGAAAATCCTTTCATGAGGTCATGAACAAGAAAAGGGGACTAAAGGGGGCCGGCGAGTTTAAGGGAACACTGGCGTCACGGGGGCTCTAGACGAAAAGGGAAAGCTGGGTTTACATTCAGGCGTTGGGTCCCCGTTATCTTGACTCTGCGCCCCGCGGTACAGCCAGGTGCGCACTGATGGCGCGTAGAAGCAGCGCGGGCGCGGGGCGGTGGTGGATAGGCAGGGTCCGCCCCGCGAGCTGCGGGCTCCGCCTCCGCCTGTCCCTCTAGTCCCGGTGCAGCTGCTTCCGGGCTTTGCGGCTCCGGGCGGATCCGCGAGGCCGCGGCCCGGACGCTGGGCCCGGGAGGGGCTGCAGCGCCTGGACGCCTGGCTCTCCAGGCAGGCCCTCGCTTTGCCTCGCAACCGGGATCTCCGAGGACATCTCCGGCCTGACCTCGCGGAGACCGAGTCTCAGCTGCGTGCTCAGGGGCCGGTGGGGCCACTTTATAGGGTTCATAGCCCTCTGAATCAAGGGACGAAGGTTGCTGGCTGGAGTTTGCCGGATACCTCTTCCCTCACTCACCTAACAGGAGACTTCTTCCTGAGCTGCCTTAGGGCAGCAGTTCAGGACTCTCCCGCTCCGGAGCACCTAGGACCCAGGGCCACCTTCCTTCCTTCCTTCCTTCTTGGATGGAGAACCTCCTCCCCAGTTTCTGGGGCACCTTGGGGCGTAGGCTTGGTGAGTGAAACTTGGGGTGCTGCCTGCTGGGAAAGAAACCTGGAAAACAGGGAGGACACTGTGGGGGTGACCCAGGCTTTGTCAGATCCTGAGACTTTTGGAATCTTGTGTGCTGGGTGGTGGTGGTGAATGAACTTGGATGTGCCTTCCTTTACCTCAAAACTGTAAAGGAAACAAGCCGCTTGACACACTTGAGGCTGCATGACCATCCAGGGAAGTGGGGAGCCACTTCTGAATTCAGAGTAGGACTCACCAGGAGATACCTGTTCTTCTGAGCCTGAACAGACTGTGGCTTCTGAGGAAACCCTCAGCCCCCAAACCTGAGAGTCTAAGCAGTGCCAGGAAGCAGCCCCAGAATTTGGGGGCTCATTACACACCCCAACCATGTTCCTGCGACAGCTTGGTGGCTGGCTACCTCGCCCCTGGGGCCGCTGGAAATCAACGAGGCCTGACCTGCCCGCCCCAGAACCCAGACGGATGGACAGCTCCTCTGAGAATTCAGGGAGTGACTGGGACAGTGCCCCAGAAACCATGGGAGATCTGGGGCCTCCCAAGACCAAGGACTCAGGTGCACAGAGGAGCTCTGGGGCTGCTCCAGAACCAAGCAGGGAGTCCCAAGTTGAGCAACTGGGGTGCAAAAGAATGGATTCTCTCAAGTGGGACGAGACTGTCTCTAGCACTCAAGAGTCTGGGAGATTGGAGGCTGGAGAGACCATTCCCAAACTAGGATGGGATCCTGTGGACTCAGGTGGCACCAGGAAGCCTGGTGTGTCCCCTGAAGAGGGACTGAGCCCCCCTGGGCCTGAAGCCCCAGCGGAGAAGCCTGGCCAGCATCAGAAGCTGCTGGGCTGGCTGCGGGGGGAAACAGGTGGGGGAGCAGGGGCTCCCTACCAGTACCTGGGGGACCCAGAGGAGTGTCTGCAGATCTCCACCAACCTGACCCTGCACCTGCTGGAGCTCCTGGCCTCAGCCCTGCTAGGGCTGTGCTCAAGGCCCTTGCGGGCAGCCTTGGACGCACTGGGCCTGCGTGGACCGCTGGGCCTCTGGCTGCATGGGCTACTGTCCTTCCTGGCTGCCCTGCATGGGCTCCATGCCGTGCTGAGCCTACTTACCGCTCACCCCCTGCACTTTGCCTGCCTCTTTGGTCTTCTACAGGCCCTGGTGCTGGCTGTCAGCCTCCGGGAGCCCAGTGGGGATGGGGAGGCCACTGACTTGGAGGGCGAGAAGTTGGGGAGGGAGGGTGAGGAGCAGAGGGGAGACCCAGGAAAGAGGCTGTGACCACGGGGTGGGGTGTGGCCCAGCGTCCCACCCTCAGTGGGTTGGGAGCAAGGGTGAAGATAGTGTGGGGGCACAATCCACATTGTAAGCACAGGGACCTCAGGGATGGGGCAGAAACCCCAGAGTATGAGGGCACAGAGGCCCCGCCCCCCTTCACACACAGGAGAGTTGTTTAGGGTGTCTGTGTTTATGGACAGTGGGGGCATTGGCCTTGAATTCACCAGCTGTTGTTAATTTTTGCTTTTACATTTCTCCCACTTCCAGTTTTTTTTTTTCCCACCTCCGCTTTTTAAAAACCAAAAAAAAAAAAAAAAAAAAACCCAGAAACAAATCATATGTCCCTCAGTAATAGACTGGGTCATACAATTGTGGTGTTTTCATACAGTGGAATACTATACAAACGTAAGGGTAAGAAAAAGACAGCTTCATATGCAATATACATGAATCTCACAAACATTTTCTCTGGTTGCTCTCAAATATCTTTCTTTGTCTTTAGTTTTCAGAAATTTAATTATGACGTGTCTTTGGTTTGCTCAGCTTCTTGGATCTGTATGTGTATGTGTTTTGACAAATGTGAGAAGTTTTGGCTATTATTTCTTTTTTTTTTTTTTACATCTTTGTTGGAGTATAATTGGGCTATTATTTCTTTGAGTATGTTTTCAAACTTGCCCTCTATCTTCTCTCCTCCAGGACTCTGATGACACAAATATTAGATATTTCGTTATCATTCCATAGGTCACGGAATCTCTATTTTTTCCAGTCTATTTTCTCTTTGTTGTTGTTTAGATCATTTCTATCATGCTATATTTCAGTTCGCTGATTTTTTCCCTCTATCCCTCCATTCTGCTGTGAAAGAGTGGCACTGCTAGGTGGGTGGATTAGGGGGTCTGGATGGGGTTCCCACAGGTGATGGGGAGCCTGCAGGGGGGATCTGGGTGTTCCGAGGAGCCAGAGGGAATGGGGATGCTGCTGGCAGTGTAGGCAGGAGGGCCAGCTCAGAAGGGCTGGCAGCTCATAGGCAGTATGGGGAGCACTGGAGTTTGCAGACCCCACTGGGGGGTTGGCTTTGCTCACTCAGCAATAAACGTGTCACACCAAATCCTAAATACACCACTAAAAGTGAGAGTTACTGTCACTCAGTGTCCTTCCTGACGCCGTCCAGCTGGGGGCTTAGGTGGTAGAAGGTCCAGAGGGAGTACTGAAATGGGGGGAGTGGGACTGATGTTGGGAGACGAACCCCCAAATGAGATGAGGATTGAAAAATCATTTTTATTCTTGAAAGAGAGTTAAGAGTCTCCAGCTTCTCCCCCCACCACAATCTCAGTTCCTACTGTATCCATCTGGGGGGCACAGATGAAGCCACAGGTCAGTTACTGGACAGCTCACAGGTCTCTGGTGGGAGGAGGGAGAAAAAAAGAGGATGAAAACGAAGGAGACCCAGGGAGAGAGGCAAGGTTGATGGTAATGGCATGAGAAAGAATGCACTCCCTCCTTCCCCCATGTCAGAGAAGGGATCTCTGAGGCCTTTTATCCCTACAGACCTCTGCCCCCTCTGACCCTCTGCCCCTTTTATCCACTGCAAACTCAGAAACCTCTCTTGAGTATCCCAGAGCCCATCCTGGCTCCCTGTGGTGCCATCGCAGTCTGTGACACAAATGGAAGTGTCAACACAGCCAACGTGATGATGTTGGCCTTTGGCCATGCCCTCTGGTGACATCATTTGAGTCCCTTTCATCCAGCACTCACAGAAGACTTGGTGAGTCCTAGTTGTTTTCTGTGGGACTCTACCCCCTCACCTTGATTCCTGGGAGTCAGTAAGAAGGCCTTAAAGTCGAGGCAGGAGGTCAGGGACTGGAATTCCTCCACACACTTCTCCGGAGGGTGTGGTGAGCGATCTGGAAGAGCAAGGCAAGGCCCGTGAAAGCCTGTGCTTCTCAGCACCGCCCCTGCTGAGGCCCTCACGGGAGCACGCAGCCCTTCCTGGGATGACGTCACGGAGCGCAGAGAAAGGGGCTCTCTTGCCCCCCGGCTCCCGCTTCCCCCCCGCGCTTCCTGCCTGGCACCCTCACTCACTGTAGAGGAGGAAGCGCTGGTAACCCTGGCCTGTCTCTTTCAGCATGATTCCGCCTGGGCATGCACTGGAGAAGAGCTTGGTCTTCATGTCAGGGCGGCCTGTCAGGGTGGGTGGGGCAGGTGTGAGGACTGAGGTACAGAAGCAAGCAAGCCCAGGGGGCTTGAGGAGAGTGAGGGCTGGAGAGAACCAACCTTCGGTTCTGAGATCTGTGCTCCCCTCAGACAGGTGGTAGATCCATTTCCGGGGCGCACAGAGCCCATTTTTCCTGCAGAGGTGGTGGTGACAAGGAAGAAAGACTGAGTGACACCTCAACCACTCAGTACCAGCCTCTATTTATTCCATCTTATTCCCTCTTGAAGCCTGGCTGCCCTTGGGTTTCATGCTACCAAGGGATGGTTAGGTCCCTATCTCTCCGGAGGGAAACTAACAGAGCTGTTGAACTCTAGTGGACCAAGAATAATGGATATGCCAAAGAGCCCAGCTCTTTGTGGGTGGGTGCTCACACTTTAGGCAGAGACTGTACCTACTGCTGCCTCTGCCTCCTCACCACTCACGTGCGGATGGTAGCTCGAAGCTGGAGCTGCATGGGGGCAGAGCCCACGGCCATGTTGAAGACAATGTTATCCACAGGGTCAAAAGTCGCCAACTCCTCCTTGGTGGGAGCTGCCCCTGCGATAAAGTACCACCGGCCCAGGTGGGGCTCTGGGAACTGGAGAGACGACGAGGGGAGCAGAAGAAGGTGGGTCTCACTACAGAATCCATCCAACCTCTTCATCAGTCAGAATGACAATGCTTAGGGGTGAAGGTGTTGGCTGCCTTTTTCCAACTGAGGGTTGGATCCATGACAAGGAGTCATTAAATGACTTTTCCTCTTTGCCCCTCCTCAGTAAACCCCACCTCCCAATTCTACATGTCTTCACATTGATGGCCACAGTACTAATATTTTTTTTACTTCTTGCTTTCATCATCACAACACCCACACCCTCTTCCTCCCTTCCTTTCCCAGTGTGGCTTTTTGGTCATCCTAGGCCACTTCTCAAGGGCCCGCCAACCCCCAACCCGGCAAAGCTTCCCACATTCTCAGTCCATACCTCTTTCCCATCTAGTCCTTCAGTTGTCAGCTGACTGTGCTCAGGGCACTGGTAGATGGAGTTAAGGAGAATGCCATAGAGGTAGAGTAAAGCTGCCCAAATTTGGTGGAACATCTTCAGGCAGGAGGGAGCTGGGGGTCTGCGTGGAGTGGCTGGTGCCTTAACTGCTCTCCCCCTTGCCTCGTGGACTGGCTGCTCAGTCCACTCTGCTTCCAGCCCCCTTGCCTCGACCCTTGACCCTTTCACCTGCTAATGAGTAACTTCAACCTTGTTTTCCAACCCAAGCCTGGATTACTTACAGTGTTTGGGACTTGCTCCCCATCTTCTAAATGCAACTACTCCACAATACATCCTGGCATGTCCAGGGTCTCCCAGGAATTAAGAGAGCTGAGCCCTCCAGGTAGGCCTGTGGTCCTTCAACCCATATCTGAGCTGGGATATCTGCTGTGCTGTGCAGCACTGAAGAGAAGTGGATTGATTCTTTCATTCACTCACTTAGCAAACTGTTTTTGAGTTCCAGCTGTTGGTCAGGAACTGGCTAAGCCCTGGAAACATAACAATGAATAAGACACAGTCCCTGGCCTTGAAGAAGTCAGTCTACAGAAAACTAGCTGTATAAACAAATCATTGCAGTTCAACCTGGTAAGTGCTTTAGAACAGGTATGAACCAGGTGCTGGAGCATGGTGGATGGGAGGCTTTCTCTTTGAAGTTGTTAATTGGGGAAACTATATGTACACCCCCCAGAAAAGTTTGCTGACACATGAGTTCATTCACTCAATGTTTATAAGTAAAAGACTACATAATCTAGTGGTTAAAGAGAACAGACAGTGGTGTCAGGCAGAGTGGGTCCAAACCCTTAACTCTACTTATCTATCTTGGTTAACTTTATTAAACTTTATGCCTGTTTTTTCATCTGTAAAATGAGCAAATCATCCATCTCACAGGACTAAAAGAGCTAATGCACATAAAGCCCCTAGCAAAGGCCTGCACATAAGTCCAAAATAAATATTCGCTATAATTAATAGTAGTGTTTGTAAAGTACTTATTAGTCTCTGGTGGGTATTCTCAAGTAACAGAAGGTAGGGAAAGCATTGTCAAGAGACAGTCATTGGGTAGTGAGTGCCAAGTGGGTGGAGCAGTTAATGTAATGGAAGGTGTGGAGCTTCTTTTATAAATTGTTTATAACCCACAGACTGCCATAAAGGTTTGTTCTGAGAGCCAAGTGGGGGAGCAGTTAATGTAATGGAAGGTGTGGAGCTTCTTTTATAAATTGTTTATAACCCACAGACTGCCATAAAGGTTTGTTCTGAGAGGTGAGGCTTGCTATGGGCTTGCAATTTAGTTAAAAGAATAAACTTTGGATGATGTGTATATGAGGGTTCATTATTACTGTTTTGGAATAATGTTTGACATTTTTTATAAAAAAAACTAAAATACAAGTTATTGTGGCAGTAAAGTAGAAGTGATTGACCCAAGGGAGTCTGGTAGGCCTGAATTTGTCAGTTCTGCCACTTACATTCGCCTAGGTTTACTCACCTAGGTGTACTGTAAAGTGGATGTGATAGTTATCTCAGATGTTGAAAACCTTTTAAATCTGACAGTACGTGAAACCCTCAGCAAACTGGCTGGCACAGACTTGGGGCTCATGTACAGGTGCTTACTAGAACTCTTAATTGAAACAGTACTGGGACTTAGGTATAAACTACGAATCCCAGAAAGGATGGGCACCAGAGGCAGGCACACTGGCAGCAACGGGTCTGGCTGGAGTGGCAGCACCGCGGGACCCAGGCCCCTGCCCGAGGGGCTGGGGGAGAAGAGGACAGAGGGACGATAATCTCCCCGGACCTCCGGCCCGCAGAAGCCCTTAGGCGGGCTTCTTTTCAATTCCCCAGGGTCAGAGTCTTGTGTTTCGGTCCAGTGTAACTCTATTTGCTCCCAATTCCCAAACTCGGAGGCGTCCTTTTTTAGACAAAAGTTCTGAAAGGCAGTAAATCCTTAGCTGCTCCAAAACATGGCGTGTCCCCTCAGCCGCACACCGCCGGGGAAGAACATGGCGCCACAAAATGCCCACCGGGCAAAACCGAGGTCAAACCCAACGACGCCACCGCACGCAAATCAGCTCGAGAGCCACCTCCAACCGCCTATGGAAAGGGTGACTTCCGGAAGCGCCGAAGGAGTGGCGCAACGAGGAGGATGGTAAGAGGAAGACAGAATTCTAGGTGGCCAGGACAGTGCCGCCTCAAATTCTCTGCCGGCCAAGATTTTAACATAGATTAGCGAGGCACAATCCCCAGTCTCCAAACTCCAAGATCCATATAACTGTTCAAAGCCGCTCTCGAGGCAGTCGAAGAGTCCCACCTGATAATTTTTTTTCAGGCATTTATAGCGGCCACCACAACCCCCTACTCCTTAAGCGCGCGCACGTAACAAATGGACAGCGCCGGCGGAGGTGGGGAGATGCCTAAGTGTGTACGCATGCGTAGTGCGACGCACGCAAGCGCAGTACGGTCCCCGGGCGACGGCGGCGGCGGCGGCTCTTCGGGGTGCTCGGCTCCCTCCCATCTAGGCCGGCCCCGGTCCGTTTAGCCCCCAGGAACTCACTATTTGGGGCCGCGGACTTTCTTGTCGTGCCCCACAAAAGTAAAGCTTGGGGACCTGGGGGGAGCCGGAAGTACCGCCTCGCGTCCCCAAATACTGTCGGAAACGGAAGTGGCCATCGGAGGCAGGTTGGTGGAGGCCGGAAGTGACGGTACAGTGGGGAAGTCGGGGGCGGAGCTGCGGGGTTGTGGGGTGTGTGTGTGTTTGGTGTGTGGGGGGGTGTGTTTGGTTGTGTTGGTTGCGTCGCTCTGCTAGAGCACCGAGGGTAGGTGGAAGAGGGAGGCAGTCAGCTAGCAGAGCTGGCCCACCATGAGTGTCCATCATTTCGAGTCTGTGGCGACTTAGGCGGGTTCGATGGGCGTGGCGTGGCGTGGCGCGCGTGCGCGAAACCACTTTCTCCGCAGAGTCTGGCGCGACCCTCGGTCTCTCGTTGTCCCAGGGTTTGCCGACTTCTCGGGCCCTTGTCTTATCGCGACCAGTGATGACACTGGTCTTGTGTTTCCTTCCTTCTCTGCTTCCTAGCCCGACTGGCCCTCCCTTATTGTGATTGGCATCGTGGAGCCCCTCCCACCTGCCGTCCTCCAGCTCCCTGTGCCGTCGATCTCTTGCCCTTTGTGTTTCTCTCCCTGTGCCCCGGAATCTGAAGGGGAATGGGGGAGGGTGTGAGTGTGTGTGCCTGTGTGAGAGAAACTCTTTAGGTATTGGGGCGGAGTCTCTGGCCGGGGAGGCTTCCGGGTATATAAAAATCTGCTCTGGGCGACAGCGGACCTCCCTCATAACATTCTTCCTTAGAGAGTTGTCGACCATGGAGCCCAATGATAGTACCAGTACCACTATGGAGGAACCTGACAGCCTGGAGGTGCTGGTGAAGACCCTGGACTCTCAGACCCGGACCTTTATTGTGGGGGCCCAGGTGAGACCTCAGTACTCCTGGGAGACACCCATTAACTCTTCCTCTTATAGGTTCCTTATTCTGAGAGAAGAGCCTAATTTTCTGGTTTTCACATTTTCTTTCATTGTTTCCTTTGTTCATATTGTAGCCAGAACATTTTCTGATGTTTCCTCTTTGGTTTTTGTTGGGGAAGGCAGATTTTCTTTTGCCTTCCTCCACCTGGATAAAACTCAGTGCAGAGGGAAAGAAGGAAGGAGGAGTCTGTATTCCAACATCATAGATGAACCCCAGCCCAAAGGGAGAGACACGGCTCCTGCCTTTGGGAAAGGAAAGAGAACACACAGACCTAAAATACAAATGTGTCTTAAATACAAAAATTGGTGAGGTCTGTACTGTGTATTTAAAGGATAGAAATCAGATCCTGTAATGCTCATAATGCAGGTAGAGCTCTAATAGACAAAATTGTGAGGCGGTTGATTTATAGTTTTAAAACACGGTGTTACATGTATTTAAGGAAACCGTATAGGCTTGTGTGATTAGGTGTATGTAAACAGCTTGGTACTCCTCAAGAGTCAGTTGCCTAGTTAGGAAAAATGTTTTTCTGGCTTGCTCCTTTTTCTTTCTTCTTGCTTGAGTCTGCCTTCCTTAATCTGATTTTCTACTCCATCTTCTTTGTCACTGCTTTTATCTTTGAGATTACAGTGTTGGTATCGTTCTGTGTTTGGGGAGGGGTCACCGGTATCTTTAGACACACACATTCCTTTGGGAGCCAGGCAGAGAAGGAGAGAAGAGAATGTCAGTTGACTTTTCTGTTTTTCAACCCTGTAGTTTTGTCCTAGGTTTATAACCTGAAGTTCCTTATGTTTATTGTATGTATATTGACAGGTGTTGCCTTAGTTCAGGGCTTTGCACAATAATTACCTCACAATTAAGACAAGCAGGTAGTGATTTTATGATGGGATGGTTTTTACCCCTCACAAGTCGGTTGTCCCTCTGCTGTCCTTCCTTTTTCTTCCATTCCCTGATTCCTATTTATGTCTTGTCTTCCTTACAGATGAATGTAAAGGAGTTTAAGGAGCACATTGCTGCCTCTGTCAGCATCCCCTCTGAGAAACAGCGGCTTATCTACCAGGGGCGAGTTCTGCAGGATGATAAGAAGCTCCAGGAATACAGTAAGGGGGTGGGGGAGGCAGTTCAGAGCTGCTGCTGCTGTTCAGAGGGATGAGCTGAGGCCATGGGTTTACCTGATTGTACAATGTTTCGGTGTATATCTTTTTTTCTGCAGATGTTGGGGGAAAGGTTATCCACCTTGTGGAACGGGCTCCTCCTCAGACTCAGCTCCCTTCTGGAGCGTCTTCTGGAACAGGGTCTGCCTCAACCACCCATGGTGGGGGACCCCCACCTGGTACTCGGGGGCCTGGGGCCTCTGTTCATGACCGGAATGCCAACAGCTATGTCATGGTTGGAACCTTCAATCTTCCTGTAAGCTTGTGTTTCACATGGGAGGGTTTTTCTGGGGGTAGTTTTGGTTGTGGTAGCAGTCAAGAGCTTGTAAGACAGGCGTCTCAGTCTTTAGATTGGGTTTGGAGGGCCCTGTGGTCTGATGATGGCCTCAGTCTTTGAGGAGATAGGGTGTGGGGCTCCAGAGAATCAGTTGGAAGCACGGGGGCCTTAGTATTTGACTTCTCCCAGAACAACTTCCCTTACCCTTTC